AAAAAATTATTTATATCCTAAATAACCAATTAAGATATTTAGATAGGCATTATTCATGATCATTAAATTCATATTTGCAGTTCATGACCATAATGAGTTTTATATATACAGTATATATATATATATATATATATATACATATATACATCTTCCCGCTTCAGTAAAGTAAAAAAAAAAAAATGTGATTCAAATTTGTAAGGTGATCTGCAGTGGACTCACGTCCAGAAAAAGGTGTCTTTTTTTTAATCCAGTCTGTGTGGGATCTTCCAGTGATTGTCTAGTTTAATGGAGGGCGGACAGGGTTTACCCAGATTGCGTTTGTTCCTTGGTGAACGGAGAAGCTGACTGCCACTTAGATTTCCTGCGGTACTTGAGAGGGTTGTTGTGGAGATGAATCCCCTACTCAGAGAGAAGCTCCAGACGATTCTTGGGGGAAAAGGTTGATCCAAACCATAAACTTGAATCCTCAGCTCAGTTTGGTTCTCAGAAGATCCTTCCAGGGGAGAGAAGGTCCGAAACATCCAGTTTACAGGAGGCCTTCCTGCCGAGACAAAAACAGCAAGATTAAAACTCAGGTAAACCAAAACTCAGTTTGACTCAGCCAAAACTCAGCTTGGCTAGAGTACCCAAACTGGAAAAACAAAAAACTCAGGTTAGACTCTGATAAACTAGGCATGGCTAGAGTACCCCAAACTGGCAAACACTCTGGCCTCGAGGTGGTGGCAGTCAGCAGCTTAAGAACACTCCACATTTAATGACGCAATGAGCTGCAGGTGTGCAGGGAGGCCCAATGAGGATGGGGCAACACCTGGTGGAGGAGAAAAGGAAACACAAAAACAGACCACACAAACTGGATTCCTGACAATACATAATTATTCAAACAATAACCCACCTCCCAATAATGCATGGTCTGAAGAGTTTCCCTTTGTTCTCTGTTGTCCATATTAAGAACTCGGTGAAATTTAACTTTACCCTCAAAGGTAATTTTTGCACCAATCTCCTGCAGTGGGAAAATAGCCAATTAGGCCGTCTGGCACCTCCTCCGGTTCCGCTGCCACGATACGAGCCTACCGTCTCTCTATTTTTTTTTCTTATTTTATTAAACAGTCCTGACTCTTGGTCTCTTCTGTTTTAACTCTTCTCTGGATCTGGGTTCTCCAGGAGATCGACTGGTGAAGGTGAACGGGGAGAGCATTCTGGGGAAAACCTATTCTCAGGTTATCACACTCATCCAAAACAGGTGCAGATCATTATGACGGTAACATCTTCTCACACTCTTCTTTATTTTATTTTCTCACTGCTGTTTGTTGTGTTTTTCTATTCAGTGAGAAGCAGCTGGAGCTGACCATTATGCCAAAAGATGAGGATGTGTTGCAGTTGGTAAGTGTGAGTATTACCTTCCTTCTTTTTTCTGCCTTTTCCTTCCAGCTAGACTGTCTGCGATGCAAAATAACTGTTTTAGGCATAAAGATGGTGATCGGAGCGTACAGGCGTGGTGGACGCTTTCAGGCAGCAAAGGGACATTTTACAGAAGGTGTCAAATCTAAACTTCTCTATAAAGCTGTTAAGATAACCAATCAAGGACTGGATGTGGCTGTGACCTGGGGTTAAGAAGGTCAGCACAAAGAATTTTTTGTTAAAATCTTACCAGAACTGTTTCTACTGGGTCCTGGAAAGACAGAAGTACCACTGGAAGTGATTATTTAGCCGCAGCATGTGTACCGGATGGAGGTAAAGCTCAGAGGGGAGCTCATCTGCTGACGGTGTTGATTCTCACTCTCATCGAGCTAAACAGACAACAGGATAATGGCGGCTGGTGAAATGTTCTCCGGGGGGGATATAACTTCTAAATAGACGTATGTCAACAATGTGGGTGAGGTTGCGTTTGGACCCAAAAGCAGAGATGAGTTCTTGTAGATTTAATGCAAACTGAGGTAAACATCCAAGACACAAAAAATTCAGAGAACCAAGAAATCGGCAAATATCATGGAAAACTCACGTTGAGACTAGGAAGCGACTAACAATCAACAAGGAACCAACACTGAAGAACTGCAGAGGGAGACAGAACAAAGACTGGGCTAATCAGATGAAAGGGAGCAGGTGTGGATATAAGTTACTAGAAGGGAGCTAGGGGAAAGAAGACAGGCACAAATGGGCAACACAGAGGAACTAAAGAGTTCTTAAATATAACATAAAATGGGAAATAAACCAAAGATCAACAATACGGAATTACTTAGATAGTGAAAACAGAAAACTAAAAACTCAAAGTCTTAAAAGGGGAGAACCAGGACATGTATACTAAAAACCAATCCAATGATTACTAAGGTATCACACTAGTATATTTACATGGATGCCAACAACAAAAACCAACGTCATCAAATGTTCTGCAAAGCGCTTTAAATCATTGCTAGCTGTCTTTATCCATGCTGGGTCAGATCATGACGTTTGAAAAATGAGGCAGGGAAAGCAGGATAAAGCCTTAGCCTCGCTGCATGCAGCAAGCCTAGCCTTGGAGCTAAATAATTCTATAGGCCTGTCAATGAACCGCACTTTCTAACAGACGACTGTGACATCAGCGCTGTGGAGGGAGGTGGTTTGCAAATGAAGATGCTTTCAGCTCTGAATGCAGGAGAGCTGCTCCTCGGGATGCTCCTATCTTTGCATTGAAGAGGAGCTGCTGCGAATGGACAACTTTGACCATAGTCTATGGGGGAAATACGTCACCAAGATTAAATATTTATTTTGCACATCTAAAAAATACATGTTGAAACATTTTAATTTTATAAATTATTTTTTATTAGTTTTTTTATGTGTGACGTAACCTATAGAAAGCTGAACTCAAATCTAAAATATCACAAAAGCAGAAATCTCTGAATTGGAACATTTAGACCGTAGAAGGTATGGAAAGCCAAATGTGTCAAAATTAAATTACTTAGAGGTGGGGAATATTTTTATTTTATAAAAAAAAAAAAGACTCAAGATGCATGCATTAAATTAACGCGACCTAAACAAATAAATAGTTGTATTTTAATTTCATAATTTGTAATTTTTAGTTACATAGTTGTTACTCTTTGCAGAAGATATTGCTATTTTATTTCCCTGTCTTACAAATCAAAGCTAAATGAAAGCCAGTCATAATTATTTAGGTTTGTCATATGAGCTACTGCTGACTTTTATGATGTTTAACAAGTAAGCGAAAAAATTTTTTTTCAAAATGTCTCATATATCTGATTAAAAGTGAGGACTTAAGCATAAGTATTAATTAGTCGACATTATATTTATTTCAGCTTTCCATAAAATAAAAGTAATTAAAAAACTCCCTTGTTCTTGACTCTGTCTCACCATCACAGCATCTTAGTCTTAATCTTGCTTTCCCTTGGCCTTAAATCGTTTTTGCACTACCTTGCTTTTCACTCGATCACTTCTTTTGGCTACTTGATTTTCGCCATTCTACACTCTTGGTCTTGACTTGGTCTTCCTTTGGTCTCTCTTCCTTAGTCTTGGTCTTGAATATGTGTTGTCGCCCTTGGTCTTGACTTGGTGTCATTCTCAATCACTCTTGGTCTTGACGTGGTCTCACCCGCCATTGGTCTTCACTGACTTGACTCAGTCTTGTCCTCCCTTGGTGGTCACTCGGTCTCTACCTTAGTCTTTGTCTCTTGACTCTGTCTTTCTCCCATTGTCTTGTCTCTGCTTCTTTCCCTTGCTCTGTGTCCTGCCTCAGTCTAAGTCACAGGTGTCAAAGTCGTTCCAGAAAGGGCCGTGTGGCTGCTGGTTTTCTGCCACACGGCCCTTTCTGGAACGACTTTGACACCCCAGGTCTAAGTCTTTACTCTCTCTTACCCTTCCTCAGTCTCGGTCTTGACTCTATGTCACCCTTCCTCAGTCTTGGTCTTGACTCTTTGTCACCCTTCCTCAGTCTCGGTCTTGACTCTTTGTCACCCTACCTCAGTGTTGGTTTTCAATGGGTCTCGCCCTCACCTGGTCTTCACTCAGTTAATCACTTAATTCTTGGTCTTGACTCTGTCTCTCCCTCGCTTGGTCTAGACCTTGTCTTACTTTCCCTCACTCTGTCTCCATCAGTCCCTCAATCTTGGTCTTTACTCAGTCTCTCTCCCTTGGTCTTGGTCTTTACACTGTGTCTCCCTCCCTTGGTCTAGACTTGATTTTAGTCTCCCTCAGTCTTAGTCTTGACTAGGTCTCATCTTCATTTGGTCTTCAATCTCTCTTTCCCATGGTCTTGACTCAGTCTCAGTCTCACATTATGTATTTTGGTATTATAACAGATGTGGTGAGGAAAGAATATGAGTTTCTGAAAAAGGATATCATGGCTGCAAGTAGAAAAAGGCAAAAACAAAAAGACAGTAAGCATGTAAAATACTGTTTTAGGACTTACCCAGACTACTGTCTTCATCCTTTTGTCATTAAAATTTATGAGTTTTTGCTAGTCAGAACAGTGTTAAAATTAAGCCATTGTAATTTGGAATAGATAAACTGATTATATGTTGAACCACCTTGCCATATACAAGTAGCTGAATTATCAAGCAACTAACACCATGTGAAAACAGTGGTTTGAGCGTGCCTGTACTGTTTTATTTTATTTTTATTATTTTTTCCTCTGTGCCATGCCTCCTCAGGTATATTCCCAGAATGTCAACTCTAAAGAGGGTAAGCTGTACTCAAGTGAGGCCCACCACTTCCCAGAAGCTCTGCGTCTCTGCAACCCGAGCTGCGCTCTGCAGCAGCCTGCTTCCAGCCTTCCTGGTCCTCTGGACAACTGGCCTTGCAAAGGCAGCAGCACCGCCTCACTGGACAACAAACCCTCTGCTACCTCCACCTCTGGCCGACCCCAAGTCCCACAGGATACCAGCAGTCACGTGGCTCCGCCATGGCGACACCAGGGCCACGTTTCGGCATCTCTTAACGCATTTGACTTCCATTTTGCTAACCACAATGCTGCCATCACCTCTGCGACGCTGCCTCCACCTCGGAGGAGAAGTCAGCTGGCCTCTTCACGCGTTCACAGTGACGCACTCTGCCAACAGGCTCTGTCCGACTGGTACCACACCCAAGCTGAGGCTGCAGAGCACTTCTCCCCCTGTCACCGCAGTGTATCGCAGGACTACTTAGCCGAGCCAGAGCTAGGTTTGCCATCCGGTCCCAGATTTGCGGCTAGCCCTACAACTTCCCTCCTGCACCACCGGGCAGCAGCCGCTGTGCATGAAGCCTACTGGCTGGGTGGCTGGGGTGGAGCGTCTGAGGCCGCCAGCAAATCGTGCTCAGAGAGTCTGCTGGCAGCTTACGCCGAATACGAACACAACTATGGACGCTCGGTGGAAACACTGGCTGAGGCCTCCGCTCTGGTCTCACAACATTACGAACAGACAAGCAAAAGAGTGCAGAGGAAGCAGACAGCTCCAGGAGGACACGAACACGTAACCGCGGTGACCACCGCAGTGACCACCACAGTTACAGCTCCCCCCAGCGTTTCCAGTCAGCAGGTGGCTGAGCCCCAAACACGACGCCTAAAAGGAGAAGAGCTGGTGGGATATAAAAGCTACAGCCCCTCTTTTTACCGCAAAGAGGGACATCTCCTCCAACAGTCCCACTCCTTCAAAGACCCCAGTTACAGGGGCCCTCATATGAACTGGGGGTCCGGCACCGGAAGAGACAGCAATGGGGGAAAATTGTCTCATCTGCAGTCACCCAACACAGCATTGGCTTTGGACGAGAAAACGGACACATTGAGGGAGGACAGAGAGGTTGTCTCCTCTGTGTCCCCAACTCAAAGGCCCCCATTTACGCGTCAGGCTGGTTCCACACATACAGAGTCGCTGCAACCATCAGCTTGGACTCCTGCAGCAGGAAAAACTCCAGTCCAACCAGACACAGGGTCCAGCCGCAGGGTCAATGGTAGCCTGGCCCATGCTTTTAATTCCCTGTCCTCCATTCCTTTCATAGGTTAGTGAGAAACGCAAAGCTTCCAACAGGAAGTCTCTGCCTTCACTTCAACAGGAAGTGTACTCTGAATATTGCATCAACCTCGAAAAGAAACCATGTGGTTTGTTGCTACATAGCATTTATGTAGCATTTGTTCTTATTATTGACAGAGGAAGTGAAGTTTGGTTCATTATTGTTTTTCAAGCAAAGGATCAGTTTTTTTTTTTTTTTTTTTTATTGAAATAAATTTTTTTCCCCCCATTTTATTACCGTATTTAAAAAAAACATGAAATTATAGGTCAACATTCTCTCAGTAGAAGAAGTACCGATCTTACAGATTTGTTCTGTTTTTACTTTCTTTGCCACACTAAAATGTTTTGTGATCATCCAACAAATAACCTGAGTTAAGAAAAGATTGCCTGAATTCAGTGTTTTATGTCAATACTGAACATTTTTAAAGGAATTGCTATAAATACATATACAGGTAATTATCTACTTACCTGATGAGGGATATATTTACGAGTGTAGGGCTGTAACTATTGATATTTTGCTAATTGAATAATCTATCAATTATTTTTCGATTTATTGATAAATAATCGAATATCAAAAGGTTCCTCAAAGAAGAATTTTTAAAGAATTAAACCAGGTAAAATTTAAATATTTCCAATTGAGGAGTTCTGGATAGAGCATATTGACAGAAAAAAGTTTTTTTTCCATCTTAAATATAAATAGTTTTTTACAATCTTGTTATAATTCCTGCTCTAAGTTGGTTGCTCTGTCAGCTAAAGACATGTTTTAGGGTCTCTATACTCCAGTTAACGATTTTTCTATCAGTAAATTAGTTGACAATTATTGTAATAATTAATTATTCCGATTGTTTCAGCCATATAGGAGGGTGTAAATATATATATATAGACTACCGTTCAAAAGTTTGGCATCACCCAAACAATTTTGTGTTTTCCTGAAAAGTCACACTTATTCACCACCATACATTGTGAAATGAATAGAAAATAGAGTCAAGACATTGACAAGGTTAAAAATAATGATTTGTATTCGAAATAAGATTTTTTTACATCAAACTTTGCTTTCGTCAAAGAATCCTCCATTTGCAGTAATTACAGCATTGCAGACCTTTGGCATTCTATCTGTTAATTTGTTGAGGTAATCTGGAGAAATTGCACCCCACGCTTCCAAAAGCAGCTCCCACCAGTTGGATTGGTTGGATGGGCACTTCTTGCGTACCAAACGGTCAAGCTGCTCCACAACAGCTCAATGGGGTTCAGATCTGGTGACTGCGCTGGCCACTCCATTACCGGTAGAATACCAGCTGCCTGCTTCTGCTCTAAATAGTTCTTGCACAATTTGGTGGTTTAGGGTCATTGTCCTGTTGTAGGATGATATTGGCTTCAATCAAGCGCTGACCACTGGGTATGGCATGGCGTTGCAAAATGGAGTGATAGCCTTCCTTATTCAGAATCCCTTTTACCCTGTACAAATCTCCCACCTTACCAGCACCAAAGCAACCCCAGACCATCACATTACCTCCACCATGCTTAACAGATGGCGTCAGGCATTCTTCCAACATATTTTCATTTGTTCTGCATCTCACAAACATTCTTCTTTGTAATCCAAACACCTAAAACTTGGATTCATCCGTCCACAACGCTTTTTTCCCAGTCTTCCTCTCTCAAATGTCTGTGTTCTTTTGCCCATCTTAATGTTTTTCTTTTATTGGCCAGTCTCAGATATGGCTTTTTCTTTGCCACTCTGCACTGAAGCCCAGAATCCCGCAGCCGCCTCTTCACTGTAGATGTTGACACTGGTGTTTTGCGGGTACTATTTAATGAAGATGCCGGTCTGGGGACCTGTGAGTCGTCTGTTTCTCAAACTAGAGACTCTAATGTACTTATCTTCTTGCTCAGTTGTGCAACGCCGCCTCCCACTTCTTTTTATACGCTGGTTAGAACCTGTTTGTGCTGTCCTCTGAAGGGAGTAGTACACACCGTTGTAGGAAATCTTCAGTTTCTTAGCAATTTCTCGCATGAAATAGCCTTCATTTCTAAGAACAAGAATAGACTGTGGAGTTTCAGATGAAAGTTCTCTTTTTCTGGCCATTTTGAGCGTTTAATTGACCCCACAAATGTGATGCTCCAGAAACTCAATCTGCTCAAAGGAAGGTCAGTTTTGTAGCTTCTGTAACAAGCTAAACTGTTTTCAGATGTGTGAACATGATTGCACAAGGGTTTTCTAATCATCAATTAGCCTTCTGAGCCAATGAGCAAACACATTGTACCATTAGAACACTGGAGTGATAGTTGCTGGAAATGGGCCTCTATACACCTATGTAGATATTGCACCAAAAACCAGATATTTGCAGCTAGAATAGTCATTTACCACATTAGCAATGTATAGAGTGTATTTTTTTTAGAGTTAAGACTAGTTTAAAGTTATCTTCATTGAAAAGTACAGTGCTTTTCCTTCAAAAATAAGGACATTTCAATGTGACACCAAACTTTTGAAAGGTAGTGTATAGCTTAACATTAACTTTTTGCTCACTTGCAACTGTAGTTAGTGATTTTTCAAAGTTACTATCCACTCAACATTTTCTCATGCCATAATTTTGTTGTTAGAAAATTACCTTTAATTTGATTAACACTCACTCTAGCTTCCTTAAGTTTACTTAAAATGTAAACCTTCCAAAGCTGTCAAGCTTCCGTCGAATGATGCAACTGCAGGGCAGAGAGAAGCTCAGAGGTTGATGCTTTCCTTCTGGAATGACAAATTCAATGTGTGGTTACTTCCATGAAAATGTGGGACATATGTTGATCATCAAAACATGCAAAATGCTGGGTGGAGGTTTTGCAAACTTCCCGCAGTTCTGGTGCAAAGTGCAACAGAAACAAAAACAGAAGAAGTATGTATGAGAGCAGATGTTTTTTAAACCACTCTACAATTATGTGTTTTAATACAGCATGTCATGTCTCTGTCCACATCATGTTCACTCACAGCGTCTGTTTCCCCTGTACCTGTGTAACAGTGATCGAATGTTATCCTTCAGTCTTTCCATGTTCTGTTTTTAGGCATTATAAACATCTGAGGATGCAAATGAACATTCTTAGAAATGGAGCTTCTGTGGATGCAGAAATACCTAAGCTTCCGGCAGCTGTTTTTATGTTTAGTACAAATCCCCCCGAAAGTGACGACAGATTGGTTAGAAGTAAAAAAAAAAAAAAATCAGAGATCAATGCTGTACAAGCAGGTGTCTCTGTTTTAATCACAGTTTAGATGGAGCTTGATGGAGGGCGTTTCCAGGGCGTACGAAGATCTGTCTCTTGACACTTCGCAGCTAATGAAGAACAAAGACGTCCGATTTATTACATGCTTCTGGGTTTTCCTCTGAGTTGAAGAAGAAGAATCATTGTTTGTGCTCTGAGTGATTTGCCCACAACCACCTTACGACCGCCGACTGAATTTCAAACATATTTGATTTTCTCCCGCCCTTAAGATTCCTGATGCAGCAGTGTGTCGCAGTGAGCTTTTCACAGATATTTTATGATTTATGCTCAATATTGAAGCGTGGTCTGTGCTATGTTATTCCACGCTACAACGCCAGAGGGCCAATTAGGAACTAGCTGTGGGTCTAGATAAGGCCGAGGCGGTGAGGAAGTGCGGGCAAGTTTGTCCGACAACGGAGGGACATGAGGGCCAAAAAGAGCGGGGATCCAGGTTGAAAAAGGTCTCAGCGTTCTTGCGCACTCTTCTAATTGGTCCATCTTCACAAGGCGTTTTCCACAATGGCGGTCATAGAAACAAAACAAACCGGTAAGGTACCGAACAGGAAATACGCATAGTGTCGAGCGGATGTAGATTTGACCAATCAGAGGCCTCCTTTCTGCAGCACTATCTACAGTCACTTACAATTTTGGAGAGGTGCAGCAGAGTGTCTGCGGAGGGGGCGGGGCATATCTGCGTGCACTGCAACACACATGCAGATGACCTGGTTTCTGAGTATAAACAAGCCCTTACCACCTGTTCACTACACGATGCAAGATCAGGCTTAAAGAAAAATTCTCGCATGACTGGAGAATCAGCCCGAAAAGATCAAAACATCGTACGGTGTATGCCCGGCTTAAGAGACCAAATGCAGAAGGATCTTTAAATCTGGTGTAAAGTCTTCCTAGTTCACCTTCACAGATGATTTCTGTTTCCATAGAAGCTGTGTTTCATAGAAATGAAGCAGAACTCACCCATGTATCTCTGTGTCCGTATGTTCTTTCTTTTGTTTTCCTGTCTGCCTGCATTGTTTACCTGGTGTTGCTCGCCTGCGCAGATGACCCTGTCAGTCCCAGTGCCGACCGCCAGGCCTGCTGTGTACCCGCTCACTCCGAGTCCAGCAACCACGCCTCCGCTGCGGCCAGCATCACCTTCACCTCTGTGTCCCCCCCACCCTCAATCTCCCCCCCTGTACAACTGCGCTCTCACGACTTCAGTGAGTCTCACTGACCCAATCTAAGCATTACAGGCCTAGAAAGAAATTCCCTTTACTAATGTGAAATTAACAGAAGATGTTCAGCCCTATATTTCAGACACAGTCCTGATCAAAACCAGCTCACATGTCCTCCCTTTTGTAGCCTAACACTGTAATACCCAAAAACTTTCCAAGTGTGAAGACATTTCGCTTCCCATCCAGGAAGCTTTTTCAATTCAAAATGTCAGAAATAGCCTAAAAAGAATGACCTTTGTCCATTCGCTTAGGACAAGAATGTTCACATTTTGGACAAAGAAAAGATGTGGTTTTTGAGGGGTGTGAAGGAATCCATATATGTTAAGAGAGAAAAAACAACCTTAAAGTCGTAGGGAAGCGGATGTTCCAACCGTTGCATTTCCAAATTCTCCCGAGTGGTTCCCAACTTTACACGAGTGAATAAAGTGAATGTGATTGGTCCTTTATCAAGGGGGCGGGATTGTTGTTGCGGAAAGTTCGCAAGCAAGTTTGGTTGTGGTCGGTTTGCTAACCAGTTAGCAACTTAGCGCTAGTAGGTTCCCAATGGGAAATTCCATTGGGACCAAGTAGCACTAAGTTGCTAACCAGTTAGCAACTTAGCGCTAGTAGGTTCCCAATGGGAAATTCCATTGGGACCAAGTAGCACTAAATTGGTGACTTAGAAACGACACTGTCAAGGAACGCTATGGACAGAGGAAACATGCAAGAGGAGGAGAGTTTTGTGTGGGAGGTCGTGGATGAGTACATACATTTTTTATTTTGAGGAGGAAAGTGGGGACGAAGAT